AATTTAAAATTAGATTTTAAATTTCAAATCCAAATAATAATATGATTATTAAATAAGGAAATTGGAAGAAATGATTAAAATAATAAAGTCTTGAAAATTTTTTTCTAGAATTATTATTTTAATGTTTTATTATTTTATCTTTAATATAATTAAAGATTAAAATAATTAAGGATTATAATAAATGGTGGTTAAGAGAGGTTGAGAACCACTCCACATTGTTTATTATATAAAAGTCAATAGTTAGTAAATCATATTTAAATAAAATCTGATTTTATTTAAATATTACTAAATATTGATTATTTTATACTAAAAAGTTTAGTATAAATATGTGTAAAGAGTTTACATAAAAATTGGCTAAGTCATTTTTCCAAAGTTTTTCCAAGAGAGAAACACATTCAAATAGTTGAGTGTAATATCAAGAAAAGTTCTTGAAATATTTCCTTATAAAATATATATATTCTATACTATTGAAAAAACCGAGAAGTTTCTACTAGTGAAGAAGCTATCGTCGGAACCCGATTTCGAAAGGTGGATACGTTTAGAGGAAAGACACGTGGATTCCTAAAGCGAGTAACCACAAGCACAAGAAGTGAATTGACGTTACCAATCCAGAAACCGATTTCCTCAATCCATCTACGATTTTGAAGGAGTTCAAGATTAACGGTAAATATTGTATTTACTATCAAACAAATCAAAATTTGTATTATTACATGTTTTTAAAGATGACGATCTGTTAATTCACCATATGTATGTACGAGATATGTATTTAATTGTTAAATACATGTTTTAAAAATTTTTAAATTCCGCTGCATATAGCTCGTATGGTACAGGCGAACCCAACAAATATTACCCAAGACAGTGGGGCTATAAATCCAGTCAACCGAATCTCACCCATGTTAATCAAAATAATATATACTGCATGTATATGTCTATTTAATATCTTACGGATTAAGAGAGCGTAGTAATTAACCGATACCTAGTTCGTTTACGACGATCAGTATAAAACGAACTTCTCCTCTCGGAGTTTCTGTTCAATACATAAATGTATTAGTGCAACTAATCAGTCAAGACAAATTGTACTGTTGATACTACAACTGTTGAGATGGGGTGTTCACTTGTGAGTTGACCCACATCGTTTTTATGGAAAAACTAGGCATAATTTATAAGTTTAATGGGCTACTCCTCCTACCACAAATTGATTTTGGTATGAAACCTCACTTGAGTATCATCTGGGCTTTCCCTGTTTATGATGGGCTTCACGTACGTGTGACCGCGCTCGTTTTTCTCTCATTTCTTATATGGTATCTGAGTAGGTTCTATGTGGAACCGTGCGATGACGTATCCGTTTACCCAACCCGTTTCTAGTAGGCTTTAGGCACCCGACTCCGTATTTGGATTTGGGCTTTCTTAAGAAGGACTCACAAGTGAAGGGGCATATTAGAATATTCACTTGTGAGTTGTCTCACGTCGTTTATATAAGGAAAATATGTCTAATTTATAAGTTTAATAGGCTACTCCTCCTATCACCAATTGGTATGGATGAAACCTCACTTGGGCTTCATCTAACTTTATAATTATTATTATTATCGTGAATAGTGTCTAGGCTACCCTTCGAGTTGTTCTTTCATTAGATTTAACTAGATGACTGCTTGACTAATTCTAACTTTTGTCTAAATATAATTAGGTGTTTTATTTATAAAACTCCGTTTAAAA